ATGCGCCGGGAATTGGTGCGCGACTGGGTCGATGGCTGGGTAGCCTGCATGTTGCCGGTATCAACCTGGGCCCCGACGGATGGAGCTCCCATCATAATGAGCTGGACAAGTTCTACATACCTGGTGGTCTGGCGGAAAAAGCCATCAAAGGCGCCATGAACGACGAAGAGTCGGAAAAGGTGCTAACAGCAATGCGCGCACCCGCTCCTATCCATACGCTGACGCCTTGGGACTTTCGGCCTATGAACATCGTGGTACGTGTTCCCGAGGACAAGGGGGTGGTTTCGGATCTTGCGGTCGTGGACTGGGAGTTATGTCACTACGGTGATCCCTCTAACGATGTTCGCATGTGGTTTGCTGAAGTTGTCATACTGGAGGCAAAGTTTGGCAATAGGGGCTTGCTCTCGTCGTTTTTGTCGGCATATAAGCAACGGGTCAGTAGTGCTGTCGTAGACGAATCATTTGTGTCCAGAGTTGCTCTGAGTGCCGGCATCTATATGCTGTGGCTTATTCCCATCAACCCTCGGGTTTGGGATTGCACAGAGGAAGATGTGGAATCTTGGAAGAGAACAAGCCTAGACTATATCAGGGCAGGCGCAAATGAAGATGTCGCCTGGCTGAGACAAAGCTGCTTGGGGCCTTTATTGGCATGATGTAGTGTAAATGAAATATATGAGAGATAAAAGATTTCTCCAAGTCACCTCTTTCTACTCTTCAGTGTGCATTCCGATATAAGGTTGATAATGAGGTGAAAAAAACAAAAGTCTTTCAAGATCTTTAGAATACTTTGTTCTTTATAATGCTCAAAAGGCTAATGCTTTTCAGAACAGACTGGGAACTACATCTCTCTTTTCCTAGGCCTTTAAATCACGTTATTCCATGGAGAGACAATATCGGATAGCATGTTTAGTCTAAGATTTCCCGTTGGTATTGTTGGGGAGCCATGCAACATCTGCTGATGCCCTTGACTTTCCAAAATCCGCCCCTGGGTAATTATACGCAGTGTACGCTTGCGCCCGCTTTCCCTCTCGCACCGGAACGCGGAATCCCAAGAGCCCCAATTGTCTGTCAGACAATTTTGCCTTGGTCTCCGCGCTCATGAGCTCCGGGTAGCTCTCCATGGCCTGCAAAAAGAAGCGGCAGAATGCTGACAGAATGATGGGTCGTGTCACATCCGATGTGTTCACGCCAGTCGAGTGCCAGGTTCGGCTGTCCAAGAGCACACATGTTCCAGCGGGAGCTGCCGCCGGAACGGATCCGCCCTATTCATAACGAGTAAGATATCTAGCAATCTTTTGGGCAGCTCATGAGGTTAATCAAATGGTAATCACTTACAACTTGGTCAATAACAAGCGGCGCGACATTCTTGTTGTGAGACCCGGGATACATACGGGTGGCGCCTCTCTCTTCCGTAACATCCACCAAATACCACATAGCATTCAGAAGGTAAGGGTGATCGATTGTTTCGGGAGTGAGTCCCATCTGATCACGATGCATATAGATACCAGACTTTGCAGGTCGGGCAATGTTGGCACCCATAGAATGGAGCTTGAACGCATTACCTAGGAACCAGGGCATAATTGCGTCGATAAGAGGATGATTCAAAAGATCCAAAAATTCATCGCCTTTGTTGGGAAGACTCCTACATGAAATTATCAGTTGGCTTAGTCCAATGCAATTCGCAAGAAGCCTAAGAAATCTTGCAAGATGAAAGGCACAAAAAGTCGAATGTTAACTTACCAGACTCGTTGATTCGGTTGATCGTCAGCATGCACATGGGCACCGTCCATATGAGCTACACCGGCCAACCGTTCGCCAGCTGCTTGTTCTTCAACAGCAGTTTTGAGAATCTCAACCTGATCCGCCGAAAGAGCATCCTTCACCATTGCGTATCCCCATTTCTGAAGATCGCGTTTAATCTGCTGAACGTCCTCAGTGGGTTTTGGTAGGTCTTGAGGACCCAGCTTATCCGCGTTGACAACAGGCTGAGGACGTCCGCCCGGAGCAAAGCACATTGGGAAGCTCCCACGACACGGAGGCTTCGCGCGCTTGCCAAAGGCGTGCACTGCATGCATGCGGCCTTCAATGACATCGAGGATGTACTCGGGCATGATAGTTACCGTGACTCCAGGTCGAACATGATCTGGGATGTTGTCGAGCAGTGCTGCACTCGTTGATGTGGAATCAATGAAGATAGGGGGACTCAAGTACTGTGATCCGTCCCCGAGCTTGAGCTCAACAAGAGTACCAAGTCCGTCAAAATCCTAGATATTCTAATAAGCTATGGCCTAACTACTACGGCTGTAGAGAAATGAAGACAATCATCACCGAGTTACAATTACTATGAAATGATTCAACATACTGCCAGTCTTTTCTCGACGTATGCACGAACGCGAGAGACATTCTGCTGAAACACCCTTAGAGGATCGTCTCTGGTTACGTCGTAAGGCTTGTCTTCGAAGACAAGTCCAGAGATGAGAGAGCCAGTCGGTGGCGGTAGAGTCGATGCCATGTTGGGTCGTTGAGAAAGAAGCAAGACTCGAGGTGAAAATTCTTGAAACTGCGGAAGGTTGGAGCCTTGGAGACTTCTGATGGCGCTCACGGTCTTGCGATGGGCAATGGATAATACTCAGGAGGTTCAGCTCAAACTCACCATGCACTGCATCGATATGGTCTGTGTTGTCCGCACTGTGTATGCAAACATAGACCTCGCCTTCGGCGTCGTAAAAAGTGCCGTAGCCGGCCTGGGTTCATGACTTTGCTCACAACGTTGCAGTGACAGGCCCCCGTTTTTGCCAAGGCTGTATTGCGTGGCTTTCTGACGAGAAGTTACATTCTCGATCCAAGTTGCGAGCTTTTCTGTGCTAAAAAGAGGTTGCGTGACCTTGCTTGTTGATTATGTTCACCGCTTCACCCGCCGGTCTAGGTTCTGAAGTTCTCTCCACTTTCGATTAAAGTTCTACTTGCAAAGATTAGTGATAGGAAACTCTTGAAGTCTGATTTATGTGCGTATGCGGGTCTATAGAGCAGTGAGGTAGAATGACTGCCTCGGCGATGCCTATCGTTTGGGTAATTAGGAGTGTCGATAGAGTTAGGCGAAATTATATTCGTACAACGAACTTGGGTTGAAATAGACTTTACAGGCGTGCCTGATAACGTAGCATTCGTATTTTAGTCCCTTACTGGATAGTGCTAGTCGGTTGTATCGGGTTAGCGCCAAGCGGTCTACGTTGCCGATCATCCATGTCTCGGCCGGGTATCGAAGGGCTTGGTGAACCCTTCTCCCCCACAATCAATCCGGTCTCCCGGAGCCAAGCACTCCGTTCTCCCGATTCATGAACTTCAGTAGCAACTCCGGTTCGGGCCATTGTACGGATACTCTCGACTATGGATACACGTGTAATGACCAACGAGGTCCATTGGTGCGCCACTCTCGGCCGGTCGCCGTTGATTCAGGCAAGGAGGCTACCATTAAGATATTTGCACCGGGGATTTCTTCTTGGTTCTGACAGCTCACGATTCACATTCGACATGTGAGATGCTTCCGGTCCTCGTGGATTCCGCGGATACGGGAATCTCTTCCGGCCGACATTCCGAAAGCTCACAAGGACGCAGGCGGGAGCACGACCCTCAAACACAAGATTACAGAATTTTCTGAGAAGAGCGGTTAATGAAGACTTGCCGACTACATTTGCGGGGCTTTGCAGCGTTCGCCGCACGTCATTTGTGCAGTAAAATCATACCCCAAGACGGAGTACCGGATTAGATGCTGACAGTTCCACCACGTCGGGACGAGAATAAAGTTCAGGGCTCCGGCAGACGTGTTTGTATCTGTACCTCGACTACGAAACTAGGGATCCACGTTGAGACCCTAGCTGCATTCAGTGGAGAGCTCCATGCCTCATGCCAAGTATTCTTATTTCTGAGCTATGACACTACAGAGCGCAGGAGCGTATTCGTTCTTCAGCCAAAGCGCTGTACACGCTTGCAGTTCGCGCCGTCAAGTTAGAAGTACATTGGCCTTGCATCAGCGGTGGGAGCCGGGACAGTCTTCGGCTCAGGCGGTGTAACCCACTCCTTCCACGGCTGAAGTCGGCCTTCTTCTGGGAACGGACCGTTAGGACCAGGCCCATCCTTCTGATACGGCGCGGGCTCCAGTACAATGAAGCGTGCCTCGACACTGTACCGCGTTGGGCAGCCGGGCCGAGCCGCTCCATTTCGAAATGCAGCATGGGGTACAACTATGTGCGGGGCTCATTAGTTAAGGTTTCTTGTCCCTTGGTCGACTAGACCAGTCTCGGTCACCATTTGGCGGGCGGTGATATGTTCGCGCCAATTAATGATTCGCAACTTACTGTTGAAAAAGCCACCTGGCGGGTGGGTGTCGTACTGTGTCATGATAACAATCTCGTCAGGGGTCTGGTTGCTCATCCAGTACCATCTGTGGGCAGGATTCCAAGAAAAGTAGGCAACTTCCTTGGCTGCTTCGTGGGTGATGCGGTCAACTGAGACAACATCGGCGAGGTCAATGTTAGTCCTTGGATCGCACACGGCGAAGGGAATGTCCTCGGCATGATTGAACATCGGGCGCCAAATACTAAACAAAATGTCAATAACAACGAAGCCGAGGAAGAATTTTGGTCGCTGCATACTTGATAATTCTCGCCCGGCTTTGGCCTGAGAGAACGCGTTGCCGTTCATCCTCAGTCAAGAACAGCGATATTCTGCTCCAAGAACTGGCCACGGTATTATCTGCAGCCACGATTCGTATTAGCTGTAGAAACGAACAATGTGCAGACAGAGATAATGAAGATTTTCTCACCCAAGTGGGCGAAAGGAAGGTGTCCTGTGCGGCCTCCTTGCGAACGTGCATCTCGAAACTAATTTTAGGTCAAGTATGATTAGCACGTATGCAAATGCCACCTGATGAAAGCTTCCGTCATCCAAAATAGAGGAATTACTAACATTGGCATTGATGGGGAAAATCTCATCCGTACCAAATCGAGATTTCCTGCAAATCATCAGCGTCTTCTTTGGTTGCACAGCTATGGTGCATACGCACAAAAATTGAGCCATCTCTTCCAAGTAAGGCTTGCAGTCATCCGCTCCAGTCATTTTCGAGAGCTTTTTGGACTTATTCTCGAGGAAACAGAAGCCGTTCTCCTCAATCGTGGGCTTGAAATCTGGCAGCGTTCGTATATCGGTCAGATTAAGCTTGCATTGCACATTCGTCAACAACGTAGGTCTTTTTCTCCAACAAATTCGCCTGAAGCTTACTTCCATATCCTTCATGACGAAATTCGACTTGGGAAATGACTGCCCGTCAGGGCCATCCCAAGAGTACGGCTTCGCCGTTTTATGGAGATCAGTTCTCTCGAAGAAAGCAGTGACTGCTGCCATGATTGTTAATAATAACTGGAAGGACAAAGATGCGAAAGCGATTGCGTGTTACAGGAGTTTGTTCAAAGAAGGGACCATCGGTGCCATCTTCAATGGGAGGCGTTACGGAGCATACTTATGCCCACTTCAGTGCCGAGCTTGTCATAGCCTGGTACGAGGCAAACAGTGGCGTGGAGGCACAAAGTAATATGACCAGACAACTGTCCCAGGTGCAGGGGATAGGGTCCGAGCGGGGAATCAAGGTCGGGCGGATTTGTGCGCTTTTCGCGGCCGTCTCAATGTCAGGTCGCAGTCCCTGCCCTCCGCCACCTCAAAACGCCGGCCCGCCTCAACCGACGGAGTCTCGCGATATATGAACTCGACTCGGGCGAGACTTCTTCAGCCGAAGAGCCGCGGCATTACACCGGGGCCATCAGATTCCTACCATATTCTGGTTGGTGCAAAGGAGCCTTTCTTTCAAGATGTTATCATTTTCATCATCAGCCGGGCTGTTTTGCCTTGTGATCACGTTGTGGCTCGTGACAGTCGCGATATTGCGCGCCTTTTACAACCTCTTTTTCCATCCACTGGCAAGATACCCAGGCCCGCGACTGGCAGCTATCACCCCACTGGTTCATGTCTACCACTTCGTAAATGGCGATGCTGTCGGCTGGCTTGATAAGCTCCACGCAGAATACGGCGACGTTGTGCGCATCGAGCCTGGCCGTCTGAGTTACATCACACCTCAGGCTTGGAAGGACATATATGGACATGCGACGGCCAATCGAAAAGTCAACTCGAAAGAGAGGAAAAACAGCAAGAACCTCTTCTCCAACGGGAGTTACTCGATTTCGTCCGCTCACGGTCCCGAGCACCAGCGCCTACGCAAAATCTTCAGCAATGCATTCAGCGACCGAGCCATCACGAAGCAGGAACCCATGCTAGCGCTTTATGCACAGCAAATGGCCGACTTGGTTTGTCGAAAGATCTCTAGCGAGCAATCTTCTCCAGGAACTGCTGTCATGGATGCAGTCCAGCTCTTCAATTTCGCTACGTTCGATATCATGGCAGATCTTGCATTCGGCGAGTCACTTGGCTGCCTCGAGAACGGCGGATCAAATGCTTGGGTCGACGCCGTCCAAGTGAATTTCAAGCGAATGATCGTTAAGGCAAGATTGAGGCCTTACCCGGTAATCTCATACTTGTGGCACCTTTTCCAACCGGAACAAGACAAGAAGGCTGCTGCTGTCCACATTCAGAGCTCGCATGAGCGTGTCACGAAAAGGCTGGCCAAGGGCGCTGATGCCAGGAACGATATCTGGGGACTCGTTCTCAAGGCCGAGGGTCCGAACGCGCTGAATCGTACCGAAATGAACAACAACGCCAACAACTTGTGAGTTGCTCCTGGTACCTATCTGAGTCTATGTATTTTAGTTACTGACGCACGCGATTTGCATTCTCCTGATTCCAGCATGATAGTTGGCACTGAGACATCAGCGACAGCGCTGAGCGCTCTCACGTATCTTTTGCTGAAGTCTCCGGGAAAGCTCGAACGACTAGTCAAAGAAGTGAGATCGGTCGGCAACACTAGCCAGCTCAAAGGAGATGTTCTCAAAGACTTGCCATATCTTCAGGCATGCCTCACCGAATGCCTCAGGTGTACGAAAACTTTCCAGTCTCTCATCGACATGAATCACAACTGACGAGTCATGGTAGTACACCCACCTGTCCCGACGGGTGGTATGCGTGTCATTGGTGAGGGGGGCAACACCATCCTCGGCCATCTTCTCCCTGAAGACGTGAGTATCACCTTCTTCAGTGCCAGCTCATGGTTCTTTTGAAGAGGACCCGTTCCATGGCTAATCCTATCATTTTCTAGACTAAAATGTCGATCGCGACCTGGACTGCCTTCCGTATCCCGCGTTACTGGAAAGATGGCAACGAGTTTATCCCCGAAAGATGGATCCCAGGTGAGCGTGGGTATGATGAATACCACACATACGACCAACATAGTGTGTTCCAGGTATTTGGGACCGGTCCACGCGCTTGTATTGGCAAAAAGTAAGTTTCCCGAACGTTCTTTTGAAGGCCAATGCCATCACATCAATACAAATTAGCTGACTTATTGGGTCAGTCTTGCGTTGCAGGAAATGCGTCTCTTGTACGCCACCTTTCTATTCCATTTCGACATGGAATTATGTCCTGAAAGTGACCGATGGATGGAAGATCAGAAGTGTTGGACCTTGTGGTTCAAAGATGACCTTCAGATTCGGGTTTCCCAGAGGAAAGACACATGAGGTCATATTTAGAAAATGCAGTTCAGTGTTCACGTAACTAAGCTGAAAGGGCCGTCGTTTCAGAAGTTTTGCTTAATTGAGGTGTGTGAGATAAATCTCATCGCTAAATACATGTAGGAACGGGTTCATCTGATCAAAGCGAACTAGTGCATGATGTCCTTTTTACCGAGGTGTCGAATGTGGTTCGTCATCTTGATAATATCCTCCCTTTTCTGAGGAATGTGATGTCCTCCTTCAAAGTTTATAACATGAGCGACCTTCGAGGAGTAATGCGTTGCAAGAGTGTTTCTCGCTTGTCCCAAGTTGCAGTCCTGACTGCCGTGAAGATGCAATGTAGGCACCGAAATCTTGGCAACGTCACCGCCCTCTGACTTGCTGCGGATATAATCCGTCGCGACATCACTATAAGCGCAGCAGACCAAGACTCCAAACTCCAAACGCGGGAGCCACGGCACCAATCCCACCTCCTGCTCCCACAGCAAGACTGTACTTGCTAGCCCGCCCTGCGAGAAGCCCAAGACACCAACAATCTTGACGTGCTCGTTCTCCAGCTGCCAGTCCTGTACTGCCATCTTGATGGCTTCGTTGAACACGGCAACTTCACCTTCGGTGTCGGTTGCGCCCTTGCGGAACCAAGAGAAAAACGACTTCATTCCGGCAAAGAAGGGGAGAACATCTGGACCGGGGACGGCAACGTGGGGTGCGGTGGCAAACACGAACTCGAAATCCTCTTTGAGAGCTGCACGGAAACCCGCGAGTTGGAAACGGAATATGTCGGGTGAAGCACCGCCGCCATGAATGCAGAGAATGGCCCGCGATGGCGACCTTTTCAGTGATGTAACCATTGCGGCTGTGAAATGACGGGTATTTCTCTGCGTATGAGTAGAGAGATGAGACGGAGATAAAAGCCCTGCCTCAGAATGTATAAGATTTGTGAAAATAATGAAGTGAGTGAGTCTGGTGGGTAAGGTTTTTTGGTGCTGGAAGTATGAGTAGCTCCGAGGACAGGTGAGGAGAGCAATGTTCGGGAGATATTTATGTGCCTCGACGAGTTTATTGTATCAGATGAAAGAAAGCACAAGCCCACGGAGGCTTTGAACAAGGTACTTCGGTAGATCTTAGTGGGTCAAGGTAGATTTGAGGAAGAGAGCACTGTATGACTTTCTTCCCGGGTCTTATCGCATCATGCTTGCTCGGCTTGATAACTTTGGTCCGCGGACCTTGAACAGTCGGCTAGAGTACCCTCAGTCTATGATTGCTGATTTGCTTGAGAGAGGTTGGCAGGATTTCCGCTCCCTCCAATAAGCATGTCTCCTTACTTTGGTTGTCTACATATCAAATCAAGCATTCATGCGTACAACTACTTTCTCTCCAGAGAGTACCTTGTTTCGGACCATTTCCATCCCCGCCAGAATTGCCTCGAATCCACCATCTAAAACACGAAGCGGATGATGTTGCAAGTTTCCTTCGTTGATCAACTTCTCTACAGTTTCCCAAACAGAGACTCCAAAGACACGCAGTTCTTCCGACGGATCACTCTTGTAAGGCTCGGGCCAGGTGCATCCTTCGCCAAAGATTCGAGGACCAACTGTGAAATCTGCGGTAACAACTTTTCGAGTCGCAGCGTGCTGTTGCCAAGGGTCAAGAGACACGTATTTGCCGCCGCCTCGTCCGATAGCAGCGTAACAAAAGGCTGTAGACTCGACGGTCGTGATGCAGTCCAGGGCATATTTCAGGTTCCCTTTCGTGTATGTTTTCTAATGGTGAAAAGACGATCAGTCAGCTATTAGTTGCCTTACTATTACGCAACGTGGAACTTCGTGTTACAGCAACTCACAATCTTGCCCGCCAAATCTCTGTCATTTCGATCGAAAACCTCTACAGCCTGGTTTCTTCTCGCTAGGTCGAAGTTCTTCGGAGAACAGATAGCGATCGGATCGAGACCGGAACTGTTCACAACGATTACGTCAAATATTTCCTCAACGACATGGCGGATTATTTGACTTACAGTTTGAGCATTTGCATGGCAATTGTCGCAGTTGCTGTACTGGCCCCATACACCAATACATGGGCAGGCTTCGCAGCTCCTCGACCAGGCAGAGGCAAGCCAAGCAGCTTCATGGCGATTCCGGCTGTGCTCACGCCTACAGGCAGAGATGCAGCAGCTTCAGTGCTCCAAAATTCTGGAACCTTTGTCCACATCTTACCACGGGTCACGGCGTACTCGCAAAATGCACCACGCTCAGGCGTGGTTCCGTACATCTCGTTCTGGGCACCGAAGACCCTATCGCCAACCGTGATATTGTCAACATCATCTCCCACAGCGACCACGGTTCCTGCAAAGTCTGCACCTAGGATGCCGAACTTTGTCGCAAAGGCTCCCCTCATCTTGGTGTCGCTCGGGTTGAGGCCAACTGCCTCAACGCGAACCATGACTTGATCCGCTGGGATCTTGGGACATGGTGCCTCGTCCCAGATGACGACCTCATCTTTGCCATTTACAACGATGGCCTTCTGAGTTGTGGGAGGGACAAAATTTTGATGCGAAAGACTGCCCATACTGAAATTTGTTGATGTTGAACTGAAAAATTGGCCCGGAAATCCTCGTTTACCTGATCCTCTGTCGCTGATTCATACCCTTTCAACCACGTCCCCTCACTTACCTACAAAAGAATTCTTTCCGTCGGTGTTTCGGTCTCGGTTCGTTCACCCGCTCATCCACTTTACCCGAACGTGTATCCAACTCAACTCAACTTCTACAACATCCTTGAATCGGGAACCCCGCTCTACCTCGCAAGAATCCTCGGGTCTTTACAAGAGAGTACGTAACCGGTGTGACATAAACTCGCTACCTGGATGGATCTGTACAGCAATACAGAAAGAAACCCTAGCAAATCAGGGCAAAGCACAACCGGCTTAACTACACATTTGTGGACCCGGGGACTTGTGGAGATCGCGATATGCATCACCGTTTCCTGTACTCCGTAGTCAATAGGCTGTATCCATAGAATAACGGCTCAAGAAGTCGTGGATTCCAATGGAGCCTTTGTGGTCCAGATTCAAACTTTGTTTTGACTTTCCTAAAGTAAAAACTCAATACGCCTTTTCCCTTTTCGTCGGGCACATCCATTAATACGGATACTTCGTAGATGCATCGATCTCATCCCTACCCTGTTCGTCCAATTTTTAACCAAGGTCATCCTTGATGATGAAGACAAATCATCACGGGGTCATTAAAGTCCTGTTGCCGCTTACTACTGGGTAACTTGGTAGAATATTCTTTGTTACAGCTCGCCTGTCATGATGCATACTACCCTCTAACTTTGCAAGGACCCCAAATCCAGGGTCCATCGAGGACATCGAACCTATCAAGTAGAGTTTGGAGATCTCAATAGAGTTTCGGGTGGCCCTGCTGATTATTTTGGTAGTGGGATCCTCTCACCTCCACCTCTGAGAATACCCCAGTTGTTCGAGTACCTGTACTTCTCTGCCCAGGCAATGATCGCATCCCAGTCCTTGCACTGATGCTGATAACCCCACCCCGTCCCAACCTGTTCGTTGTACTTGCGCCACTCGAGTGTCACATCTGCATTACACATGATAGTCTGTCGTAGGTAATCCCAGCAATGATTGAGATGTTCAGAATTCCAACCAGGATCTGTGGGTAACTCTCTCTTTGCCGCCTCGTCCTTGTTCAGGCGGTCGATAAGCTCATAGTATGCGTCCATAGTACTATACTATTGTGGGGGTTAGCGACAAACCAGGGTCAGCAGCGATTCAGTTATCTTGGGAGGCGGGAGTCCGGCACTGTGTACGAAAAGGAGAATGAGGCTATTCGGTGTGACGTACAAGGCAATGCAATTGATGAAAGACCGAGGGATACGCGCGGTGTTCCGGAAGTGATTGATTCAGCCCCGGCAAGTCAGGCAGAGCAGTCTCGTTCTTGACAGTGACCCAACCCCGCCCAACTATTATCAGATATCAGCAGTCTGTCAGACGCTAAGACTGCCGAAGGTTTCCTTTCACGGTCAATCTGTGGAGGTGGAGAGAGCACTTACTCGGCAGCAAGCTGTTCCACGCCTCAATACTTTCAGGGTTAGGAGGCTGGCCGTATAGCTTGTTCCCATGCAAGACCTTTTTCACAGGGACTACGATACCAAAGTTAGTTTCACATCAGTTATCAGAGAAACACGTTGTCCACTTTGTCTGTACATCCATACTTCCTCCTAGTCATCTTCATGGCTGCCCAGGCAGAGGAGATAGGAGATGGAGTTAACGTACTCTGGGGTGGAAACCACTCTGGTTGCGCCGGGTAAACAACCGTTGCAGGAGCCTCAGGGAGATAGAATGCCGGGCCGTGAAATACGACGAGAATTAAGACCGCCGCAATGGAGATGGCATTCGAAAGTGATAGGGTAAGAATGATCAACTGAGAGCGCGGCAAACGACCATTGGCCCCGGTGGGCCGTTCGTCGTCACAAGGTTCACGAGAATGGAGTAGGCCGGCATTTTCGTCCTCCGTAGTCGAGAGTCTCGGTATCTTCTCGCCGTTCTCTTCGTTTGAGAAGTCCTTGGCGGATTTCGCCATCGTGCTTCCCTGTCGTCGGAAGTGGGTAGTTTGGATGGGGGATATGTTAATTGTCAGTCTTTCTTCAGAAGTAGAAGGTGTTTTTATAACCGTCTCGGTGGGAAAAGCTGTTCGTATTAGGTCAAATCAGGTAAATTCGCCGTATGTAGAATGTTCCTTGCACGCAGACCATACCCACAGCAGGGACCCCTCTCATCACATTTGACTGAGCCACATTCATGTACAGTGTTTTGGCGTACTGTGACACCTACATCCAGATAGAGGTCTTGAAGTTGAAGACTAGATGCTCCGTCAGATTCACCGGTCGACGAAGTCAATCAGAATCCGAGTCGCAGGGCTTAAGAACTCGTGGTAGAAATCTCTTGTTATTTGAATCGCTGAATGATTTCTACTTAACTCGTGTTCCTCCCACTCGCTGACTCACTACTTTCGAAACATTCATCTAAGTCCCTCATTTCGGCTTCTTCCCGATCATTATCAGCGTCATGTCGCCGAACGAGCCCATTGTTGTTGTTGGAAGTGCATGCCGGTTTCCAGGCGGTGTTGATAGCCCAGCAAAGCTATGGGAACTCTTGAAAGAACCGAAAGATTTGCAATCTGAAGTTCCAAAGGAGAGATTCAACATTGACGCATTTTACCATCCCGATGGCTCTCACCATGGCAGGACCAATGCCCGTCACGGATACTTTCTCGATGAGACACCGAGGGCTTTTGATGCGTCGTTCTTCAACATCCAAGCCGGCGAGGCGGAGAGCATAGATCCGCAGCAGCGGTTGCTCCTGGAAACCACCTACGATGCTGTAGCCGCGGCTGGATACGGACTACACGATCTTCGCGGGTCTGATACCGCAGTTTACGTCGGCTTGATGACCCACGACTTTGAGCTCGTCAAAGTCAACGACATCAGCTACAGCCCAACGTACTTCGCAACGGGTGCCGCTACAAGTATCGCGTCAAACCGTTTATCATACTTCTTTGATTGGCATGGCCCTAATGTAAGCATGCTATTCAGTTGAAATTATGGCTATGATGTCAATGTTCTCAAGCTGATCGGGATTGCAGATGACGGTCGATACTGCGTGCAGTTCCTCTCTAGTTGCGGTGCATCTTGCGGTGCAACAACTGAGGAGCGGATCGAGCAAGACAGCTATCGCAGCTGGTTCCAATTTGATCTTGTCTCCAAGTACGTAAACTACCTTTTTTTGAAGATATAATGAGCCGGCAAGACTCACACTGCATCTATCTTAGTGAACTACATCACAGAGAGTAAGCTGAACATGCTTTCACCCACGGGCAGATCCCGAATGTGGGATGCTGCAGCGGATGGCTACGCGAGAGGTGTAAGTCCCGTCCCCCATGGCCTGTCGAAACATGAGATATGAGGCAATAATTGCGGAACAAAAGATTGGCTGGATCGTCGAACTTTCACTGACCAGTACGCAATTTCTGTCAACAGGAAGGTGTTGCCACTGTAGTCCTGAAGACGCTTAGTCAAGCACTGCTTGATGGCGACTCCATTGAGTGTGTCATCCGTGAAACGGGTATCAACCAAGACGGACGCACAACCGGCATCACAATGCCGAGTCACGTTGCTCAAGAGACCCTCATTCGCGAGACTTATGCTCGGGCTGGTCTAGATGTTGCGCAAGCTGAAAATCGCTGCCAATTCTTTGAAGCTCATGGTAGGTACCAAGATTGAGTGTAGCATTGAAACGTTTGCTTACCCCTAATTCGCAGGAACGGGAACACCAGCGGGTGATCCTCAGGAAGCTGAAGCAATCTCGAAAGCTTTCTTTGGCAGCCAGGATAGTTCAGACAGTGAGCGCTTGCTTGTAGGAAGTCTCAAGACCGTCATTGGACACACCGAGGGCACTGCTGGTATTGCCGGCTTGTTGAAGGCCTCACTTGCTGTACAGAACGGCGTTATTCCTCCCAACTTGCTGTTCGAAAACCTCAGCCCCAAGGTCGCACCCTTCTACAAGAATCTCTCAATCACGAAAGAGGCTCAGCCGTGGCCAGAACTTAAGCCTGGTCAGCCGCGGAGAGCAAGTGTGAACTCGTTCGGTAAGCTCTTCAGTCACACCAGTTCTAGACGCCCCGGAAAATGCTAACGAAGGAAAGGCTTCGGTGGCACCAATGCCCACGCGATTGTTGAGGAGTACAAGGCCTCAGCTCCGAGCACGGATACGACTCCGAAGCCAAAATCTCAGCCTATTTCAGCAGCATATGCCTTGCCACTCGTACTCTCTGCCAAGTCAGAGCGTTCGCTGAAGAGCCTGATGAAGCAGACTGCTCAGTTCATCAAGTCAAGCCCTGATGTCGACATGCTTGACCTCTTTTGGACGCTCCTTCGCAAGCGATCTATTCTGCCTTACCGCCAGACTATCGTTGGATCTTCCAGGGAAGCTATCACACTCGCGTTGGAAACCGCCATCTCAGAAAATGCCAGCTCAGAGCCCAGCTTGCGCTCCTTCACCAGCAACCAAGAGAAGCCTCGTCTTCTGGGTGTGTTCACTGGCCAGGGTGCTCAATGGCCTGGCATGATGAGATCGCTCATCTCAGCGATTCCCCAGGTTGGCGACATTGTGGCGGAGCTTGACCACTCGCTGCAGACATTGCCCGTCGAATACCGCCCTTTTTGGACCTTGAACGAGCAATTTTTGCTCGAGGATGAGGCTTCCAATGTTACCAAAGCCAGGTTTTCTCAACCGCTCTGCTGCGCTGTACAGATCGTTCTGGTGCGGCTACTGGCAGCTGCTGGTGTTGAGTTCACCACGATTGTCGGTCACAGTTCAGGGGAGATAGCGTGCGCCTTCGCTGGAGGCTTCATCAGCGCCTCGCAGGCCATCCGAATTGCTTACCTCCGAGGCCTCACATCCAAGTATGCAAGCTCCCCGAACGGGGGCGAGGGAGGTATGCTTGCGGTAGGAACTTCACTAGAAGATGCACAGGAGCTGTGCGAGCTGGAGATGTTCCAAGGCCGCATCTGCGTTGCTGCTAGCAACTCGCCTGACAGCACCACCATATCCGGTGATGCAGATGCCCTTGCAGAACTGCAGACTATCTTGGAGGATGAGTCCAAGTTTGTACGCATGCTCAAGGTCGATAAGGCTTACCATTCACACCACATGCTCCCTTGCTCGCCGCACTATATCAAGGCTTTGAAGGACTGTGGCTGCGATGTCGCTGATGGGGCCGGTTCTTCTGTGGCATGGTACTCCTCTGTGCACCAGAACAGACGCATGAAGGCAAGCGACGTCACCGCCGAGTACTGGAATGACAACTTGGTCTCTCCTGTTCGCTTCATGCAGGCTGTTGAGGCCGCCGCGATCGAGCATAAATCACTCGATACCGCCATTGAGGTGGGCTGCCACCCGGCTTTGAAGGCACCTTGTCTAGCAACTCTCAAGACTATTCTCCCCGAGGATATGCCTTACACGGGTTGCATGCAGCGTGGTTCCAATAACGTTCAAGCTTTTGCCAGTGCGGTTGGATATCTTTGGGAACGTCTGGGGCTGAATGCCGTTGACCCTGACAGCTTCATTACCAAAGTGATCGGGCCAGGAAAGAGTCTTCGAAGCCTGTCCAAGGCCCTGCCCCGGTACCCTTGGGATCACAGCCGGACTCACTGGAACGAGACCCGCGCGATCAAGGCTCATCTCCACGGTCAAAGGCCACATCTCCTCTTGGGCTCCCTCTCGGCCTCAAGCACCGGTTCGACATCGCAATGGCACAATACTATACGGCCCAGGGATCACGAATGGCTACAGGGTCATGCGCTCCAAGGCCAGGCTGTATTTCCCGCTGCCGGATACATTGTTATGGCAATGGAGGCTGCTCTTCAAATGGCTGGCGGACGCTCCGTTCAGCTCATTGAGGTGCTTGATATGAGCATCGATAAAGCTGTTACTTTCGAGGATGAGAACAGCCCGGCAGAGCTCCTCGTTGCTGTAAATACCATTGTCTCTCAGCCAGACCAGATCAAGCTCGGCTTCACGATTGACTCCTGTCTTGCCAAAGAGTCAAAGCCGTCAACATCTGCTACCGGTCAGCTCGTTGTCACATTCGGGGACTCTTCCACAAATGTCCTGCCACCCGCAAACGACGACCCTCCGCACCTTACAACAGTCAACATCAAGAACTTCTACCGTGAACTGGATGAGCTTGGATTCGATTACAGCAAGGATTACCGCTGCATCTACAACCTCGCACGCGCCGATGCGAAAGCTACTGGTCACATGGCCTTTCCGCGTCTGGATGATGGATCTCGTCCAATCGTGTTGCATCCAGCTTCTATGGACTTGGCGTTCCAGACCATCATGGGTGCCTATTCAGCCCCAGGAGATAAGCGCCTGAGGTCCATCTATGTGCCTGTTCACATTGACCGGATCAGTCTCGTCCCCGCGCTCTGCGCTTCTGTTGCCGAATCTGACTCGGCTCCCATCGTTCACTTCAACACGGCGAACACGTACGACAAGGGTGACGTTTTAGCCGGAGACGCCACGGTTTTCTCCTCGGGCGATGATAAGCAAGTTCTCTACCGCATCGAGAACCTGCTCTTGCAGCCACTTTCCAAGCCGTCCGAGGCCGAAGACCATAAAGCCTTCACCAAGACAGTATGGGGCCCCTTGAAGCCCGAAGCACTCCTGGACAACCCGGACCTCTGGGCTACTGAGCAGGACAAGCAAGTGATCCCCATAATTGAGCGTATCTGCTATTTCTACATGAAGGAGTTTGTCAGCCAGCTCACTGAAGAAGACCGCGCCAACGCTACGCTGCCTCATCAGAGATACATCTACTGGAACGAGCACGTCTCGGCCAAGGTGAAGGAGGGAACCTGGCACGAGTGGTATGATCCATCTTGGGAATCAGACACGCGCGAACAGATCGAGAAGTTGGTTGTAGAGTAGGTCCCAGACAATTCCCCAGCTTTGGCATGAGGTGTTGCTAACACATGCTGCAGGAACTCCTACCACCCTCACGTCAAAATGGCGAAGAGAGTTAGCGAGAACACTCTCTCGACCATTCG